GACTCTGAACTGTCTACTTGCATGCCTCGGGCAAGACGGTGACAATGTGAATGATGGTGAAAGTGTTTCTTTTTTGGGTCACCCTGCCTCAGTGGGAGATGGCCAGTGTGTAAAAAAAAAAAAATATTATACTTCTAATAGTTATGGGTAAGGTTTAAAATAGTTAATGACATTATTTTTAATTGTTAAGAACATTTTTTTTGTATGGTAGGAGGATAGTTTTTATAATTTAGAAGCTATTTTAAAGGATTATTATTTTCATGAATTGTACATAATTTAGTCATACATGGGCACAGAGGATACAGCTGGGCAAATCTAATTTAATATAATAAACACAATTATAAATACAGGTATAGTACATACAGTATTTTTATTAAATCTTAGCGAGTTTCATACTATTTGTAAAAATTACCTTTATAGTACTATCTACTATCATATTCCCAAGCTCCACTATTTGATCATCACTTTATTAGTCCCTTAGCTCATTATTTTACATTTGTTAAATAATCCAGGTGCTATTTTTTAGCTTAAGACTATTTACTTTGTTTTATACTTAATTCAAACTATAGATTCACTACAAATCTTATGATTACAAGCATTGATCCTGATACCAACCTCTTATTTAATGACTTAAATGAATCAAACAGTAACTGTAATTACTACACTGCAGAACAATCAAAGGCACTTCTCAGTGCCAACAACAACATAACTATATTTAACTACAATATCAGATCTTTAAGCAAGCATTACGATGACCTCATAGCATTACTAAATTCCTTACATGCCAATATGTCCATCATTACACTAACTGAAACCTGGCTAAAGCCTGATAGTACAGATGTCTATGCCATTCCTGGTTACACAGCCATTACACAACTGCAGGCCAGATCAACAAGGGGGTGGCACAGCCATATACTACTCAGACCAACTAGAATGTATCACTAAAAACTTGCACAAGGGATGAACATGGGGAATATATAATAGCTAAATTCAAATCAAAGTACCTACAAAAAACCTCTCACATTGATAAACATCTACAGAGTTCCACAGTCAAACATTAGCCAATTTAGTCAAAATCTAGGAAGTATGATAACTGATGCACGCATGAACAAAGATCACTTACTACTCTCAGGTGACTTCAATATAAATCTCCTGCAAGACCAGGACCCACACGTTACTGAATTCACAAACACAATGAGTAACTGTATGTTACTACCAAACAGTAACAAAACCTACAAGAGTTACAGAGACTAGTGTTTCCTACTTGACCACATCTGGACCAACACCATATCCCTTTAAAATCAGGCATAATTACAGATAATACCACAGACCACTACCCTACTTTCCTCATAACAACTCTTGGTAAACTACCCCAAGACACTACTAAAGTCACCTTCAGACTTCACAATGAGGCAGCCATTAATAACTTCACAACAGCAATAGCAAACATTGATTGGCACACTGAGCTAGAAACCTATACAGATATTGACGAATGTATTAATAATTTTCTAAAAAAAACCAATACCTCTATAACAAGCACTGCCCTAAAAAAACTAAACAGATGACAGCAAAGAGACTGAACAGTCCCTGGCTAACACCCAGCATTCTCAAATCCATAAATACAAAACACCAATATGAAAAAACAGTACAGAATGGGTCACATAACCAGAGACCAAACAAAACGTTACTCGTCAATCCTAACCAGCCTGATAGAAGGGCAAAAAAATTGTATTATGAGAACAGATTATCCAACTTACGAGGTTGATATAAAAAAGACCTGGAAAAACCCTATCAGAAATTCTGGGAACAAAAAAGATATCACGAAATAGCGAAATAAAATTAGCAAAAACAGATGAACCCCAACTCCCACCAACAGAAACAGCAAACAGACTCAATGATTTCTCTCCACTAAGGACAAAACCTTGCCAATAAATCCCAAGCTCAGATACCCCACCAAATGACTACCTCACCGGCAACTACCCGAACAACTGTTCCTAGCTCCGACTAACCCATACGAAGTCTCCCTTATTATCAACGCACTAAAAAACAAGGCAGGAGATTTAAATACCTTACACCCCTTATATACAAAAAAGTGTCACAAGTGCTATCACCAATCATTGCAACACTCTTTAACAAATCCATTGAATCCTCCACCTTCCCTACAGTACTCAAAATAGCAAGGGTCCCCCCGATCCACAAAGGAGGAGACCAAACAGAGTTGAATAACTATAGGCCAATATCCAACTTACACCCTCTCTCAAAAATCTTTGAAAAATTAATTCATAAACGAATCTACTCCTACCTTATCTCCCAAAACATACTCAACCCCTGCCAATTTGGATTCAGGCCTAATAAAAATACTAATGATGCTATTATACACATGCTAGAACATATATACACTGCAATAGAGAAAAAAGAAGTCCCACTGGGGATCTTCATTGACTTACGTAAAGCTTTTGATACAGTTGACCATGACTTGCTCCACGTAAAATTGTCACACTATGGTATAAGAGGGCACTCCCTCAACTACCTCAAGTCTTACCTCAGCAACAGAAGCCAATATGTGTACGCAAATGGGGCAAACTCTTCTGCACAAACCAATTACAGTTGGTGTCCCACAGGGAAGTGTCCTTGGCCTCTTCTCTTTCTCCTATACATAAATGACCTTCCAAATGCTTCGCAATTACTCAAACCCACACTATTTGCAGATGACACTACATACGTCTTCTCTCACCGAGCCCAGTCACGCTAGCCAATACTGTAAAATACCGAATTACAGAAAAATATCTACCTGGATGAGGACTAACAAACTTACACTAAACATTGACAAAACCTACTTCATTCAGTTTGGTAACAGAGCTACAGATGTCCCTCTTAACATAATGATAAATGGATCACCTATCACAAAACTAACAGAGGGAAAATTCTTAGGAATCCACCTTGATAATAGACTCAAATTTCATACACATATACATCAAATTTCTAAGAAAATTTCCAAGACTGTAGGCATACTATCGAAGATACGGTACTATGTTCCACAGTCAGCCCTCCTGGCCCTATATCACTCTCTTATTTACCCCTATCTCACCTATGGAATTTGTGCATGGGGCTCAACAACAATTAACCATCTCAGACCACTAATTACCCAACAAAAGGCTGCAGTTAGAATGATAACAAATTCTCACTACAGGCAGCACACTCCCAATATTCAATACACTAAACCTACTCACCATACAAAAACATCCCATACTTATTACTGCACCTATTTACATACATAGAACACTTAACTCTGATATTAACCCTCCCTCAAACATCTCCTTGCCAACCTCAACAGAACACATGACCATAACACAAGGCACAGATCACTCTTTGATGTTCCTCGTGTCCATCTCACACTATGCAAAAATCAATGCACATAAAAGGCCCTAAAATCTGGAATTCATTACCTGTAAATATAAAAGAAAACACAACCTGTTTATAAATTCAAGTCTCTTCTCAAAGATTACTTACTCACCCAAAACCAAATAAATACTGAATAACTGAACATTATAAATTTTATATCTTAAATGTTTCTCACAATTATATCACATAATTTTAAACCTAAAACCATCTAACTTTATTATTTTTTAAATACACTACCTAACAGAATCACTACCTAACTGAATGCAACCATATGACCTGTCTTTGTAATACTCACTTGTGCTTTATAGTTATCTGTTTACATTATGTTTTATCACTGATTTCATCATTGCTTAGTAGCAGCGCTGTATAGTCCTTGTGGCTTAGCGCTTCTTCTTGATTATAATAATAATAATAATCATTGCTTAGTTAGTCTTAAGTTAATTTTAAGCCAGCCCGTAATGCTATGCATAGTATAAGTGGCTTTGGCATACTGCTCTTATCTGTATTTTTTTTTTGTACCTCTGTATGTGTGCACAAATTGGAAATAAATAAATAAATAAATAAATAAATAAATGGATAATTGCCTCTTTCTGAAACAAAATAATGACTAATTCATTGGTATAATTCAAATAATTTCATTAAATATCAGTTTAAGAAATACAATGAATATATGGAATTTAAACATACAATTTTTATGGTGTCTTTTTCTAGGATATTACCTGTTTTTGGCGAGTGGGGAAGAATCACCAGGCAGAGTGGCATCCATCAGAATTAAAGCAGAATATCCACCATCCAGTGAAATATGTTATGTCCGCTTCTGGTATTACATGCACAATGATGACAGCACGGTTAACGTAGGCGCTCTACGTCTTTACCTTGAAGGTTGCTAGCTTGAAATTTTTGTCACATACATTACAATTTAACAAGCCAAAGTCTGTCAAGCTATAGCTATAAAATATGGCACATATATTCAGTAATTTGCTGCAGTTCATTTACATTTTGTTATGCCTTTATTTGTTAATTGCATTTATATGTTAATTATTTTTTGTACCTTAATGTGTTTTTTAGTGTTACTTTTTATTGTATATTTTAATATATAAATCATTTCCCCATGGGGAAATGAAACAGAATTCTTCCTCCATAAGCCATGCAAAGGGGGCTAGTAACCCCTTCTCCTGTATATATTACTAAATTTAAAAAGAGAAACTCAAGTTTTTCTTTTTAGGCCACCCTGCTTCGGTGGGATATGGCCAGTTTGTTGAAAGAAGAACGATATAAAAGACTGTCTTTATTAGGGCTCTGATTACACTGAAAATTTAGAGTATCTCTAAATTATTATTATTATTATAATCAAAAAAGAAGCGCTAAGCCACAAGGGGTAGAGTATCTCTAAAACCCTTTCAGTATAACAGTCTTGTACTTTTAATTCAATAGGCTCATTTTCTGTCTCTATTTTCTCTGCTAAGCCCCAGTTGCATGACCCCCAAGCCAGTGATTGGCTTGCTCGGTTCTCTTCAGAGTCTGATCATACCACCAAGATGTGTGATAGAGTCTCCTGCTCTTCGAGGCTGGTTGACAATAGTCATTCATTTTGTCTGAGTTACTGGACATGTGATAACTGCAGGACTTGCCACAAATGTTCCATGGCAAGCCAGGATGCTTCGTAAACAAAAATGAAGAGTACAAGTCAGTGAGGAAGGCCTTATCATGGAAGACTACTTCATTGTCTCCATGAATGGATAACAGGAAAACTCTTCTAAGCTTGCTGGGGTAAAACAACCCCTTCTTTCTCATTTAGAGACTTCAGAGCTTAAAAAGACATCAGGGATGCTCCTGAGGATTTCCAACCACCCTCCATGTCCACCAAAGGTCATAGAGCAACATAATAATAACAGCTTTATTTACTACAAGTACATGTACATGGTGTACATGTACATACTACTATATAGAAAGCCCCTTGTTATGCTGAGCATTTCGGGTAAATTAGGTCAGTGCCCCAAGATGCAACCCACACCAGTCAACTAACACCCAGGTACCTATTTTCCTGATGGGTGAACATAACAACAGGTGTAAAGAAACACACCCAATGTTTCTACCCTGGCTGGGAATAAAACCCAGACCCTCACCGTGTGAAGCAAGAGCTTTAGCCACCAGGCCACCAGAGCCCATAGGGCAGTTTTGTATGCTACCACCATCGAGCCCAATTTTCAAGGCCTCATTTTTTCTATTAGCCTCTAAACAAACAGCCACCATCTCTGAGGTACTCGTGCAGCAGTTGAAGGCTGTACTGAATTATTATTATAATCAAAAAGAAGCGCTAAGCCACAAGGGCTATACAGCAAAGGCTGTACTGAAATCATACATTCTTACTCTGCACAATGGTATGAATTATTCCAAGGATCATGTGGGCTTGGTTCATACTCAGTTTCCTGTTATTTGGAAACGAGCTTGGTCTCCTATAATTTCTGTCAACTGTTGCAAGAAAGTCGTAAAAGATTCCTGAGACTCATAGTTGTTAGAAGGATTAACAACCTGTCACAGCCTCCAAAACCTTCCTCTTGTATTTTAGAAGACCACTGCTTTCTCACTTCTTTAGAACTGGCTGGTCTTGTGCCTTAGGAAACTGGCCAGTCCTATGTTAAGTTGTCAAAGGTTTTTCTAATAAGATACTCCTCTCTCTTTTCAAACCCTTCCTTCCTTTCCTCACATTCATGAAATTTCAGAGAAACAGGCATTCTTTTATATTTTTTAGTCTTAACCCTTAAACCGTCCAAACGTAGATCTAAGTTCACCTGTGTGGCTCTCCGAATATTTTGAAAAATAAAAAAATCATTTTCTTTTTTTTTTAATTAAAGAGGGCAATTTTCTGTGTGCTGTAAGACCAAAAAAAATTTTAGGACCAGTACTTACTGAGATATAAGACTGGGAAGTTGGCTCTGGATGCTCACCTGATGGCAATATCCAGTCCTGCCGCTTACAGAAGTGTTGCCGATTTACCTTTTTGTCTCATTTTTGTTTTAATTTATATAATTTTTATGTGCTGATAACTTTTATGTCTGTCTGAATGTTTGTCTGTCTGTCTGTCTGTCTGTCTGTCTATCTATCTGTCTGTGTCTATCTGTCTGTATCTGTCTAGCTCTGCTTATCTATCTAGCTCTGTTTATCTGTCTTTCTGTCTGCCTGTGTGTGTGCCTGGAGTATACAGTGGACCCCCGCATAACGATGGCATCACATAGCGATTATTTCGCATACCGCTTACTTTAATTGCAAAAATTTTGCCTCACATACCGCTTAAAAACCCGCTTACCGATTTTCCTCCGAGACGCGTCCAATGTGCGGCCTGAACCACGCTCACATGTTCCGCCGGTGGCATTGTTTACCAGCCAGCCTCCGCGGTAACATCCAAGCATACAATCGGAATATTTCGTATTATTACAGTGTTTTCGGTGCTTTTTCTGGAAAATAAGTGACCATGGGCCCCAAGAAAGCTTCTAGTGCCAACCCTACAGCAATAAGGGTGAGAATTACAATAGAGAAGAAGAAAAAGATCATTGATAAGTATCGCTACTATTGGTGGTACAGCTGCTGCTGCTGCTGCTGCTGCTGCACTGTCAGCTGCTGCTGCTGCTGTAGCATCGTCTGCTGCTGCTGCTGCTGTAGCATCGTCTGCTGCTGCTGTAGCATTGTCTGCTGCTGCTGCTGCAGCATCGTCTGCTGCTGCTGCTGCTGTAGCATCGTCTGCTGCTGCTGTAGCATTGTCTGCTGCTGCTGCTACTGCTGTAGCATCGTCTGCTGCTGCTGTAGCATTGTCTGCTGCTGCTGCTGCTGCTGCTGTAGCATTGTTGCTGCTGTACCACCGTCTGTTGCTGCTGTACCACCGTCTGTTGCTGCTGTACCACCGTCAGCTGCTGCTGCTGCTGTAGCACCGTTGTTGGTGTGGCTTATTGAGAATACCAAGAAACAATTAACCCCAGAGGATTTGCCACCCAGGATAACCCAAAAAAGTCAGTGTCATTGAAGACTGTCTAACTTATTTCCATTGGGGTCCTTAATCTTGTCTCCCAGGATGCAACCCACACCAGTCGACTAACACCCAGGTGAACAGGGAAAAATGCCTGGAACTAGTGCTCATATTGGTGAATTTAAAGCCAGCAAAGGTTGGTTTGAGAGATTTAAGAATCGTAGTGGCATACACAGTGTGATAAGGCCTGTTCTGGAAGAAAATGCCAAACAGGACCTACAGTACTCAGGAGGAAAAGGCACTCCCAGGACACAGTGTCTCATCAGTCATTGCTGCATCTTCAATAAAGGTAAGTGTCATTTATTCTTCATTTAGTAGAGTAGTACATGCACAATATATACTGTGCATGTACTACTCTACTATTGTGCATGTATCCTTCTCTTTGTGTGTGGGAAAATGTATATTTCATGTGGTAAAATTTTTTTTTTCATACTTTTGGGTGTCTTGCACGGATTAATTTTATTTCCATTATTTCTTATGGGGAAAATTCATTCACATAACGATTATTTCGCATAACAATTACCCCTCTTGCACGGATTAAAATCGTTAACCGGGGGTCCACTGTATATATGAAACTCCTTGAAGAATGGTGTTACGACAAGCATCAGATAACCGGTGACAGCCAATAACATTTGATGAATGTGAACTGCTGCAGGGAACCCTCGCTTTGTTTTTGCTGTTGCACACAAACATGTCTGTCTGCATATCTGTCTATCTTTTATTTATTTATTTATTTATTTATTTATTAACAATTTGAGCACACATACAGAGGTACAAAAAAATACAGATAAGAGCAGCATGCCAAAGCCACTTATACTATGCATAGCATTACGGGCTGGCTTAAAATTAACTTAGATTAACTAAGCAATGATGAAATCAGTGATAAAACATTAATGTAAACAGATTACTATAAAGCACAAGTGAGTATTACAAAGACAGGTCATATGGTTGCATGCATTGTTGTACATTCAGTCGTATGGAGTATTCTGTTAGGTAGTGTATTTAAAAAACAATAAAGTTAGATTGGGTTTTAGGTTTAACATTTATGTGATATAATTGTGAGAAACATTTAAGATATACAATTTATAAGGTTCAGTTATTCAGTATTTATTTGGTTTTGGGTGAGTAAGTGATCTTTGAGAAGAGACTTGAATTTATAAACAGGTAGTGTTTCTTTTATATTTACAGATAATGAATTCCAGATTTTAGGGCCTTTTATGTGCATTGAGTTTTTGCATAGTGTGAGATTGACACGAGGAACATCAAAGAGTGATCTGTGCCTTGTGTTATGGTCATGTGTTCTGTTGAGGTTGGCAAGGAGATGTTTGAGGGGAGGGTTAATATCAGAGTTAAGTGTTCTATGTATGTAATAGGTGCAGTAATAAGTATGGATGTTTTGTATGGTGAGTAGGTTTAGTGTATTGAATATTGGTGGAGTGTGCTGCCTGTAGTGAGAATTTGTTATCATTCTAACTGCAGCCTTTTGTTGGGTAATTAGTGGTCTGAGATGGTTAATTGTTGTTGAGCCCCATGCACAAATTCCATAGGTGAGATAGGGGTAAATAAGAGAGTGATATAGGGCCAGGAGGGCTGACTGTGGAGCATAGTACCGTATCTTCGATAGTATGCCTACTGTCTTGGAAATTTTCTTAGAAATTTGTTGTATATGTGTATGAAATTTGAGTCTATTATCAAGGTGGATTCCTAAGAATTTTCCCTCTGTTAGCTTTGTGATAGGTGATCCGTTTATCATTATGTTAAGAGGGACATCTGTAGCTCTGTTACCAAACTGAATGAAGTAGGTTTTGTCAATGTTTAGTGTAAGTTTGTTAGTCCTCATCCAGGTAGATATTTTTTGTAA